CTTCAAGTTGTATCTTCCTGGTCGAATGTACTTACTGTAAGTCGCTTTGGATAAAAGCGTCAGCTAAATGCAATGTAATGTAATGTAAAAATGTAATTTATTTTTCCATTGGACAAGTTCGTTTTTTCTCCTTTTCATATATTGCACAAATAAACCAAAAGGCTATGCCTGCTTACCTTCATGTTCATTATATTCTGTTCCTGGATCTCCTTACAGCTCTCGCTAGCATATTCTGGACCTGTTGCTCGTTTCTCCAATTGGCTTCAAAGGTTTCGTCCTGGTCAGGTTCTGACTCATCTCATCATCTCTGATGGCTTCTGTGTCGGTGAGTTCTTCATCTTCTGAAAAATCCACATTTTAAACAATAAATCCGATAACAGAAATATACATATGTTATGGAAGAAACATGCACAAGCATTTGATGTTATGTGTTGTTTTTTTTACCTATTTGTAAAGTAGAAGCTGCAAGGGAAGCGTCTTCCACTGAAACCAAAACCACCAATGACAAAAGTACGTGGAATAACATTTCTGCGAGAAAGAAAATGCATTTAAATGTTAAAGGTGCATACATAATACCACATAGAATGTTATCCCATACACAGAAAGTAATTTAAACGTGATAAACCTAACCACCAAAATCTGAAATTTGCCTGAGAATCATTCGTCCACTGTTAGATTGTCTTAATGTTCTTTCCAGCTTAACATTATTGAGAGGTTTATCACAAAATAAATTCCAACATTAAAGAAGGTCCACCAGGTGTCAAATCCTATTATACAGTCTGTGTTATGCATATTTTTAGTAATATTACATAGCATTACATTACACATACTGTACCTTTAACAGTACATTAAGACTGAACAGCACTTCATGTCCAGGTTGTCATAAATCGTTCACCAGTGCTCCCTATTTTCGTAACAAAATATATTTTACCTACCTGCGTTGATCACTGTAAGAAGTGTTGTGCTAATTCTTGATTTTCACAACTATTTATGTCCTTGTTTAAGAGTCCAACCTGTGATCAAAGTACAAATTGATTAATGTTTCTTCAACATTTATTATGTTACTTACCGTAACATCTCTCGGACAAGGAAACTGTTCACAAAAAATATTCCAAATATTGAGTCGTAATGATACCAAAGGTCCTCTGTTATCTTATTCCCTGACTGTAGTTTTGTATTTCTGGTTAACTTATAGCTTACTTAGTGCCATATATCAAACCCATCAAATGATAGGGGTGAGGTGTAATGGAAAGATGAATATATTGTTAATATAACTATTATGTTTCCTTATCAATACTAATATGGAAAACAAATGAAAATGTTTTGTAAAACTCAATTTCTGTCTTAATATACTGTACTAAAGGGCAATGCCAAAGTAAGCTTCTTCTCTGTCTGGGGGTCGTTAGAATCGTTAGCTTCTAGTAATACTAACTTATATATAAATCATAAGAACATCTTTTTTTCTTTTGTTGTCACAGCCTTTGGAAAAGCTGGAACAGAGTCATGCATGGGACATAAAAAGCATATTTTAAGTGACTTTATGTGATTAAATGTATAATTTATTGAGAAACTGTAATAGTTAAAGTCACTTGATAAATGAAATATACAAAGACATAAACATGTTATTATTGCGGTTCCATCATACCAAACACGAATCAAGCAGACTCTTCATGAAAGGTCAATGTAAGTGCAACCCAATAATACATCAGTTACAAATGTACTTTAAAATACTGAACATTTATATATCAGAACAGTGCAGGCTAATTGCAGAGGTTACATTCCTCTGTTTTACTTGTTTATTTTTTCAGCTGGGTCACCTCCTGAACAACTTCACCACTGTGGGAGTTAGATTCTTTCACTAAAATTATCTGTGTGTGTATACAAGTCAGAGAATATCACAGAGGGGCTTTGAGCAACTGAAAGCATGATAAAGAAGTTTAAGACACTTTGAACTCAAATTGCTTCCTAAATGCAGTTTGATAACTCTATTTGCTGTTGTGCGCCTTCATTACAAGTAACTGTTTATTATTACTGTTTACTATAATATTAGTTGTTTTCTTTAATGGGCATATGCAGAAACACACGTCTTGTTTTTGTAACATGATTTGATTTGTCTTCAACTGTGATTGTTGGCTAGGCTGACATGTCAGAAAATCCATAGCTGTGCATGTGCAAATAGTCCTCTCAGCGGTAGAAGAGTAAAACAGCAGCCTCAGTCATCTCTTTGGAGGCGCTCCAGCCTTGCTCCCTTCCCAATCTGTCCCAGTCAAATGATGGAAAGACATGTCTTTGGCTCTTTTCTGCTGTAACGATGTTAATGTCCCCTCTGTGGGACTAATAAAGGTATTCAACAGTATGTGTAACACTTGCTGTGTTGACAGACAGTAGAAGAGTGAAAATGGGTTGAGACTCACATGTTCAGTGTTGTATGCACAGACCGGCTTGACCCCGGAGCAGATAGCCATGGCTGCACGTTCATTGTTTATTGCTCTGAATGTGATGAAACCTGGTTCAAACTCCCCTTATATATAATAAGAAAAATACACAATTAAAACAAAAGTACCTTTGTTTACAGCAGGATAAATTTAGTTTAGTAAGTTGGTGTCTTCTATTTGGTCATTCAAGGATAACATTGTTATTAAACTTGGACGTTAAAGATTTCATAATTCCTGTGTTTGGATTAACTGTATAAATTAATTGTTTTAGGAAATCTGATAAAATTAGTATTTAAAGTAATTAGTGATATACATGCTCATACATGATGGTTGAACAGCTCTATATTATCTCCATTCCACTATATTAGAGTTTTACCTCTTGGTTTGGGTCCATATAACATTTTGGTGGACTCTTTGTCTCCATGGTCATACACAATGGGAATAGCTGGCCCTCTGTTGCTGGTGGGGGAGTCGACGTTGTATCTTACTGGATATTGCTGGAAGATAAATGCAGTATGTAGTCGTAGTAAAATGTTTTAGCCTGTAAAATAGCAATATACTGTATGTTGTAGCAGGACAGGGGAATATCATTTCCCCTCCTCTTGCACTCTACACCCATACACCAAAACAGAACTTTACAACTTTACTTTCACAAATCCCTATCCCCTGAACTACACTCTTAAACTGAGTGAAAAAGGACAACAAATACTTCTTCCCCCCCACACTCACTCACAGTCAATCCCCATGATTTAAACAATCGTAGGCTCTCGGAGTCACATAAGTGATTGATGTTTTGTGAGTTAATGTGGCTTATTTGTTTGTGGTTTATATATAAATGGATTACAATTGTTGATCGGTACACTGTAAAAAAAGGTAAAGCTGGAAGCAATTAAAAAATATACTGCCATGTTGCCTAATCTATAATAATAGTATACATTATGTTAATTGTATTTGTACTTATCTGAATTTACTATTTGTTAATTATTTATTAACCAATGCTTTTAAATATACCATGGAGTAGAAAAGTACAATACATACTCTGACATGGTGGATTAACAATATGAAGGAGCATAACATGGAAACACTCACATTAGAAACAAATACCTAGATTTTTCTTGAGTAAATATAATTAGTCAGGTTCCACCGCTGTGATTTAATATAACAATGCAGAACTACACAAGTTACCGTGAACATCTGGAAGAGGTTTCCTCCATACAGGCGCAGAAAGTGGGTCTCAGTGTGGTAGCGGAGGATGGCTGCCAGGTTCCAGTTCTCCAGTGGGAAGTTGTTGGGAACGTGCCACACAGACATGTCTTCTGCCATGATATCATAGTAGCCTGGATTCTGTGGAGGTTACACACTACTGTCAAAATGGCAACTGTGGCTATCATATTGTTCATAAACAGCTGTGCTTGTAAGATAAAAAAATACATTTATGTGCAATATTTCAAGCTTGAAGTCCATGACGCTTTCTTTATCAGTTAGAAAATGCAATTTTTTTTCGCATTATAATTCCTGAAAACACCACTTTTTACTACACTTTAGTGGAGTTATTTTCTGCTGATTTTATTTTTGCTGATTGACCACATACACTAAGATACTGGCCATGCAAAACAGAAGGGGCTCATTATCATAACAGAACGTTGCAAAAAGCGCTTTTTTATGTGTTTTTGAGGCAGTAAACAGCATATTCTTTAACAACAAAGCACGGTAAAAAGCGACGTTTCAAGCAATTCAAATATCAATCAATCAATCAACAATTGTATTAATCCCGCAAGGGGCAATTGGTTATGAGCAGCAGCTTATGTCATGTACACAGGCAGGAACATACAAGAAGAAAACACACAGATACACCCGAGGCACAGATGTGGATAATTCCAATTTACACTATAAATAGTTCATAGCTCATAGCATCACATTTTTTCCCTTTAAACTGTGCGTTTTCTCCAGAAGTTTTTCCTTGTACGATGTGAGGGTCTAAGGATAGAGGGTGTCGTTTTTTCTCATACTGATATTCTGAACAATCTGTGCTGTTGTATTAGCTGTAAAGTGTCTCTACTGTAGGCTATTTTTATTATATGTACAGCACTTCGACCAAAAATCGTTTATAAATCCATCCATCTTCTCCCGCTTATCCGTGGTCGGGTCGCGGAGGTAGCACGTTTATAAATGTGCTATATAAATAAAACTTGATTTGATTTGATCACAATAATATATATATAAATAAATAATCAAGTTAAAAGCATTTCAAGAATTTAAAAGTTTGAGTGCAGAAGGGATAAATGATTTTTGAAAAGCGATTAGTCCTTTGATCAGTTAGAGCATATCTACGCCCTGATGGCAACAGATGAAATTCATGCGAAAGTAAATGACCTGGAGAATTCAGAATGCTCTCTGATTTCCGCAGAATCTGTTGGTTACAGAAGGAATTGAAGTCTCTCTGTTTCACGACGATGATCTTGGAGCAGGTTTTAACGATGCTGTTCAGGCTGTTCCTGTCTTTCAGTGTAAGGCTATGGAGCCAGCAGATAAAATAAAAACAAATAAGGCTCTCAATAAATGCTTGGTAAAAACGACAAAGAATGAAAGGCCTGACAGAGAAAGAGTTCAGTTTGCGAAGAAGGTGCATTCTCTGTTTGCCCCGCTTCACTATACACTCAGTATTCACATCAAATTTGAGGTGGTCATCGAAAATGGTGCCCAAGTATTTGTATGGTGTGACAATTTCTACC